AATAGGTTAACTCAAACTGTCTTTGCACAAATACCACACAGAAAATGTCCTCTTTGATTTAAATAAAATTTAAATTTGAACAAGGGAATGACTCCTATACAAAATATAAAAGGAAAAAACCTGAAGACTGAAGTCTCTTCGGCAAGATCTTTGAGTAATATTAAATTGCATCGTTTTGCTCTACAAATTATAAAAATGATTTAAAATCAATCATCATTTTCTTACAAAAACAATATGTAATACTCAGTAAGATGCGAGTAATTTGGCTGGTAGTCTATAAAACAGCAATAATTGCAATAATTCTTATCGTAGAAATATATAATCTTCTATTTTCGCTGAATGTTGATGAAAAGATTTTCAAACAATATGAATATTTATATAATATCTTGCAACACAATTGCTTTTATTTTCTAATGTTAGCACAATTTGTAATGCTCACTATATTTAAAGTTTAAACTTTTATATTGAAGAGAAAAATAAAGAAATATCTTATTTTAATGGCTGGTGTATCAGGTTTTACCGAATGAGATCGAAGTCGGCGTAAATTCGTGCAGTTTAGGTTAAATTTTAATTTCGACTGACAGTTTAAAAAATAGTTTTTTTTGTAGGCGTTCAAGATGGATGACAATGTGGTGCATTTTTCACGTTACCAAAGTGAAGTAGAAACAGCCTTATTAGTTAGAAATTGATATTTATTTTATTTCTAGTTTTCTTCATAAACGGACTAAATATCAACTTTAAGAAGACAGAAATTATGATTGTCAGCAATAAAAAAAGGAATAGCGACGAATTGGTAATATCGACATCAAACAACGTCCACCAGTTTAGTTATCGGGGAAGTTTTTTTCACAGAGGACCGAAAAATGTGACACCGAGATCCGAACGCTCATTTGATTAGCGAAAGATGCGTTCCAAGTAACAGGAAATATTTCGGTAAAAAGTGTGAAATTGCTATGTGATATCAATCCTCTTGTATGACAGTGAATGCTGGACATCTTACCGAGAGGTGAAAAGAAGACTAGAAGCAGTAGACATGTGGTTCTACAGAAGGGTATATACAATTCTACGGAGCGCGTCTTAAAGAAAATGGTAATACTTATCAGAAACAGACATTTGAAATTCCTTAGATACATTATGAGGAAGGGGGCTTGGAAAACATAAATCTCAGAAGGCTTATATAAGAATAGAGATAGGTAACCCGCTTACATTCTCTATCAGACGAGCTTGTATGAATGGATGATAGAACTGCGGGCGGGTGTCATGAAAAAGTTGTGAACGTTACTAAGAACAAAATGTTTTGAAGAGTGACATAGCATAAAAAATTTAAACGGTAAACTTGTATCTGTTTGAAGGAGTAATAATATTTTTACGTCTTTCATTTTATTTGTGAATAATAGTATTATTATCAGCATCATTCTGTTGGCGTCATTTTCATTAATAACTTCTTTGACATTAAGATGGGGAGATGTTAAAGTGATAAAATTCAATGTGACGTAATGTAGTTTGATATTCTACCGTACGATCAACTTGCGCAATCATTTTTCAGCAGGAAAAAAATCTTTTCTTGATAAAAAAGAAAAAAAGAAACGGCATACTGCCATTTAGAAAATATCTCTGAAGTGTAGGGGAGAAGAAAAGTTATGTCGTGGGAAAAGAAGACTTAGAAATAAATAAAAAGCAACTTGATACATGTATTTCAGCAGATAGATGCGAAGAGGAAAAAACATGAAAAGATGGGGAAATCAAGCAAGCGAGTAAAACGGGAGATTCGATAACAAGAACTGATATGTAATTAAAATGTTCCAGAGATAAGAAAGAAGGAGATAGTGTAGAAAGAAAGAACGAAAGAAAGAACGAAAAAGAAAGAAAGAAAGAAAGAAAGAAAGAAAGAGATAATATAGAAAGCAAGAAAGAACGCGACAATGCAGAAAGAAAAAGAAAGAAATGGATCGTGTAGAAAGAAAGAAAAGGCTATTGCAGGAAGAAAAAAGAAAAGAAAAGGATATTATAGTAAAAAGGAAATGGAAGTTGTACAAATAAAGGAGGAAAGAAAGAAAGTAAAGTACACTGTAGAAAGAAAGAAACAAACAAACAAAGAAAAGGATATTTTATAAAGAAAGAAAGGTATTTTGTATAAAGAAAGAAAGAAAGGTACATTTTAGAAAAAGAAAGGTACATTATAGAAAGAAAGAAAGAAAGAAAGAAAAAAGAAAGAAATGGAAATAAATAATAAATAACGAAAGAAAGAAAGAGATATAGACAGAAAGAAAGAAAGAAAGGGATTGTGTAGAAGGAAAGAAAGTTAGAAGGAGCATTGTATAAAGAAAGAAAGAAAGAAAGAAAGAAAAAAAAAAGAGAGAAAGGGAATTGAATAATAAATAACGAAAGAAAAAAAGAAAAAAGAAAGAAAGAGATATAGATAGAAAGAAAGAAAGGGATTGTGTAGAAAGAGAGAAAGTTAGAAGGACCATTGTAGAAAGAAAGGAAGAAAGAAAGAAAGAAAGAAAGAAAGAATGACAGAAATCAGAGAGAGAAAAAAAAAGAAAGGTACATTGTAAAAAGAAAGACAGAAAGAAATCCACATTTTAGGATGGAAGAAAGAAAGAAAAAAAAAAGAAAGAAAGGGACATTATAGAAAGAAATAAAAGAAAGGGGTAAAAAGAACTAAACATCCACCTGACATATTCGATGAAAATAGTTAGTAATCTACCTAAACATCGTGTGTAAATGAATGACAGAACAGCGAATCAGTCGATTAGTAAGAGTTTAATCACTGCCTAGAGCTAGAAACGTTACAATTTTGTGGAGTGCTACCATTCTCTTTGTCTGGAAGAATATGAAATGAAATAATTGAGTGATTCGTTCTCTACCACTTATCAAACTTCAAAGCCTTAAAATATGTTTAGATTGTAAGATTTCTTTTTTTTTTTTTTAGATTTAGTGACACAAGTTTTACTAATTAACCCATAGCTAGAGTTAGAAGAAGTGGCTTCATACCTTTCCCACGGGTATTTGCGTGGTACTGAGTATAAATAACCCCGATGCAATTGGACCTCGTCTTTCTCGATCAAAAATTCCAGTCTATTATCGATTACACCAGAAGCATATCCAAGTCAACAGTACTTGACATTCCCAAGCAGTGACCCATTTAGGTATTAACCAGTCTCGACGTTGCTTAACTTCGATGATCGAACAAGAACTGGTGCTTCAACGTGACTTGGTGTCGTAAGACCTAAAAAAGTTTCGAAAATTTAAAAAGTTATGAATTCTACCGGAACACTCACTCATATATATATATATATATATATATATATATATATATATATATAGTCGACTCTCCGTCGAGATTCGACGTATGAGGGTCAAGCAGATCAGTTTCCGGGAAACCGACAGCCCGACACCGGTACGTGAGATTTGATTATAGTGGTGAAGGCCTCGTGCAGGGCCATCCACACATTTTGAAGGGACAAATACAGAGACCTGGTGCACCGAATGCCACAAGGTCCCCAAACGACCCTCCGCAGGTTTTGAATTCAGAGTTGTCCTTCTCCTAGACCAGTTGCCATCCAAGGCTATAGAACCCAGTCTGTCCTGCTATTTTACCCATAGGAGGCACGGTGGAGTAATGGATAGCGGCTTGGATTGAGGAATCGCAGAGCCGAGTTCGAATTCCAGTCGAATCCATTACATTCCCTTACGTGCTAATACCCTTGGGGAAGGTATGAATCCTCTTTCTCTCCCTCTAGCTATATATATATATATATATATATATATATATATATATATATATATATATATATATATATTATTGAACTATATATATATATAAAAGATCCTGAACTCACACTTTGATCCTGTCATCTAACCAACGCCATTATCCACTGTGTCATGTGTCTTTGAGATAAAGGCGTTGGTTAGATCTAGTGACACGACCAAAAGTGTGTGAGTTCAATACCCGGTTAAAGCAGTAGAGAACTTTCAGAAGGAAAATTAACAGGAGATAAAATCCATTAAACATGGCACGTGGAACTATCAGTTATCTCCTGTTAATTTTCCCTCTGAAAGTTCTCCACTGCCTTAACCGGGTATTGAACTCACACAATTTTGGTCGTGTCAATGGATCTAACCAACGCATTTATTTCAAGGACACATGACACAGTGGATAATGACGTTGGTGTGAGTTCAATAACACTTAAATTTTATATATATATATATATATATATATATATATATATATATATATATATATATATATATATATATATATATATATATATATATATATATATATATATATATATATATATATATATATATATATATATATATATATATATATATATATATATATATATATATATAGTAGCCTTCATAACTTTTAAATTTTCCGGTCTGCGTTCTTTTCTTTTTAATGTTATCATTTATATATATATATATATATATATATATATATATATATATATATATATATATATCTGTGTGTGTGTGTGCAGACTGTTTCGCAGCTCATCATTGTAGCTAGACATCCGATTGCTTCAAGTCGGTATCGAAACTCGACCGATTTGATATCACTCACAGACTCTACCCAGAAGTTATTGAGACACCTCAGAGAAAGAGAATCTTTTAACGTGTTATGTACGTGATGTATACAAACGCTAAATCAGCAGACAGAGTGCTCAATTCATACGAAGAGCTGTGCGTTTAAGCAGAAGCAACTGCTATTAAAATTCCCTTTCTCTATAGTGCTAGTAAAAATCTGATTCATGTCCTTTGATTTTACTTAATTGCATTTAATGCTTGTTAATGTAATTAACATATGGAATTATGTGTTACTTAGCTGAATGAATTGTCATGATGGTGATGATAACCGTTTCCATTCAGGAAACATTCGACAATCAATGATAGAAATGATAGCGTTACTCTCGGTTGAAATTTACAAAATATTTTTTCGAAAAAAAAAAGATTTTAAAGACGAAATTAGAGAAATAATTAAAAATATCTTAGAAAAGAAAGAAAGATAATATAGAAAATACAAACAGAAGAAAAACAAGTATAAAAAGATATAGCCAAGAAAAACGAATGGATGAACGAAATGATTTTCTGGAGAAAGACAGAAAGAAACTATCTGGTAGAGAGGACAAAAATAGAGATGGGGGAGTAGACGTTGTAGAGAGGAACAGTGGAATAAAGAAATAAGTGCTAAAGAAGAAAAAAAAACTGGTTAATGGCTGTAAAAAGAAAGTAATGAATGAAAATGTAAGAGATAAAGAAAGAAAAAAAATGACGTCAAGTAAACAAAAAAATGGATGTTCCAATGAGGAACAAATAAAAAGCGTTCCAATGAAGGCAAATATATTGACTGACTCATCACAACCTTCATTACCCATGCCCCTTCCACAGAAAGAAAATGTGACCCCAGATGAAGAATTGCGACAGACCAAAGAAAATGAACACATCTGAAAATATGTTACTTTATATTTCTGTGTTTAAACTTATGTACGTCACTGTACCTAAATGCCTGCCTGTGAGTGTGTACGCGTGTATTCCGGCTTTTGTGTATGTGTGAAGATCTATTACTTCCTGCGGACGTCCGTGTATGTGGGAGTGTGTCTTTATTTATATGCGTCTTCCTGCTGCATACAGCTTCAAGATACGGTGGATCAAATATTTGCTTTAAAAGCTACAAAGCGGAAACAGTAATGATTTGCCTTACGTGTTTTATGGCGCGGAAATCGTAAAGATTATTTGATTTATAGATTTTTACTATAGAAATGTGAGGCATTCACTTAGCGAGAATGTCCGAAATTTTCCCGATTTATCCAAACTTGCTCAGCCCGCTAAGACCCTGTATTGTTCGGGTCGCGATCTCACACCGTGTCTTCAACTGCACTATACCAAAAAACGAAAAAGATTCGCAAGGAAGAAATGAATTTAACCTTTTCTTGTCAGTTCAAGAATCAATGAAAGTTTCAGATGTCCTGCCCGTAAATTTTTTTTCACTAAATTTAGGAGATAAGGTGTAGACTTTAGTTGACAAATTATATTTGTATTTGCTCCTAATTAGGCTTCATGATCGAAACATTTCATCTGGTGTTTGTTTCCATATCGATTGCATTTAAATATGTGTCTTTCGTCCTCGGATGTGCATATTTTTATAATCATTACACCTCACATAAGGCGGGAATGCCACTAATGCGCAGAGGATTACAGAGAGTGAAAGTGAGAGAAAAGAGTATAAGGAGGATTGTGGAAAGGACAGAAAATGAACGGGATTCAAGAAGATAGAAGATGGCGATTGATGGCATTTAAATTTTGTTAATCATTTCACCCCAAGAAAGGTGGGAATGTCACTAGTACGCAGGGGAATTCAGGGAGTGAAAGTGAGAGAAAAGAGTATAAGGAGGATTGAGGAAAGAACAGAAAATGAACGGGATTCAAGAAGACAGAAGATGGCGATTGATGGCATTTAAATTTTGTTAATCATTTCACCCCAATAAAGGCGGGAAAGTCACTAGTACGCAGGGGTTTACAGGGAGTGAAAGTGAGAGAAAAGATTGGATATAGGAGAGTTTGAGAAAAGGATAAATGATTAACAGGATTCAAAAAGATAGAAGGTGTCGATTGACGTTACATTTAATTTTTTGAAGGCCGAAGTTATCAGGGAAGCAAGTAAGTGGAACGAAGTTCCACAGACGTTAAGCACGAGAAAATAAACGGTTGGGGTAGAGATGGCGGTTATATTTAACTATTTCAACAGTAGAAAGCTGTGACCAAGACGGCAGTCTAGTATCACGCTTAAATTCACGTAGTTCAGACACCAGGGGGAAAAAAAGCTCGTCAATATTTATATAGAATCAGGAAGAAAGAACTTAACCAAATAAGAGAAACCACATTACTTGAAGACTTTGAACAATAAGAACAACTTCGAAAAAAAAAACGAGATAATCAATACGTTGACGTTCCACAATACCTAAATAACAAAACAAAAGCTAGGAAGGAAACCTCCGTAAATAGTGGAAAGAGAAATAGCATTAAAATCTTTGAGAAACGTGTTTTCCTGAAAAAATGTTTTAATAAAAAGATTTTATAAATTACAGTCGAAATTATCACTGGATACTAAGTCAATAAATTCCGAATGTTTTCTGATAAGGAAACATTATTATTATTATTATTATTATTATTAACTAGATTAACAATATCTGTCTATATTTCTGAGATGAGGATTATGTACACTATTTACATCATTCCGACTATTGTCCTCATCATTGTCACCATATTTATTGCAAAGTTTCGGCCGTTGTACTCTCCGGCCTTCTTCAGGTGGTTGGAATGTCGAACTGAACCTTTTATTTCGCTCACTGGGGTAGACTGTTCTAGTTCCACGTGCCATTTTTTAATGCATGTCAGTTATCAGTTATCTTCTGTTAATTCCCCTCTCCAAGTTCTCGCACACTTTGGGTCCTGTCACTAATTAACGTCTTTATCCACTGTGCCATGTGTGCTTGAGGGCATCTGTATATGAATTTCTGGGTATTATAAACCTAATCTCTTCAGCAACCATTTTTACCATTGCTCATATTGCAATTTTTGATGTTATCATTGTATTTTTTTTTTTTTTACCAGAGATCATATTGCAATTTTTGTTGTTATTATCGTTTTTCTCTGACACTATTTATTACTGGTTTTCCAGGAGATAACTGATAACTGACATCCATTAGACATGGCACGTGTAACTAAAACAGTCTACTCCAGTGACCGAAATAAAGGGTTCAGTTTGACATTCCAAAAACCAAAAGAAGGCTGGTGCGTACAACGGCCGAAACGTTTTAATAAATATGGCGTCAAAGATGAGGACAATTTTCCGAATAAAATAAATAGTGTAAATTTGCAATCAGTGTTATGGGATGTGGAGATGTGTAATGTTTGGCGACTCCCCCAGCCGAGGTCGCATTCCAATCGAGATCGTTACGTTTACTTTTGAATAAATACACCTTGATTCTGAGTAAATAGCATGGCTGATGGATCTCTTTGCTTTGGATAGCAATAAGTGAAGCAGATTTCTAAGTGTAAAACCTTCCTGAAGATATATGGGCCCGTCAGGCTTCGATGAATGTGAATGTGTTGCCTCGAAGACCTTAATTTGATTACGGGAAAACGTGACCTTACGAATCTATAATCGTCTATCACATTTATTCGAAAGCCAGATTTGGAATTTCAAGCTGGTTAATATATTGGTTTTGTAGCAATTTAAAGGGCTGGATAAAACAGTTTCTAGCGCAAACAGTCCTCTGTCTAATTCCCTTATCTCTTATACGAAAGTTGTTAGAATTGATTCATACCCTTTATAATTTATTAATTACGCATTCTGATTGTTTATGATGGATCAATTTACAGTCAGTACTGGTTGAAACTTATCAGGAACAGACGGATTGTATTTGGTCAATTCGATGTAGTGTGTTGCTTAGCAGTCTTCTCTCGCTAGATCAATTAAGACTCAGTAGCGAGTTTGATCCTGACTGGTGGCACTATCACTTTTGGCTTTGTGCCACAATTAAGTTACACTTAGTAAATCAATATGGGCACCTCGACTTAGTGTAATGGTTAGCAAGCTTGCCTCGCTAGAACAATTACAACTGAGTAGTTAGTTCGATCTTCACTGGGTGCCCCATAGCTCCGGCTTTATGTCACATCTAAGCACCCCTTTAAAAAATCACCTGATGTGCTGTATTTGGCCAAATTGATGTTGTTTAGTGTAGCGCTTAGCAATCTCGAGACTGAGAAGTCAATTCGATCCTCACGGGATGCGCCACCATTTTCGGCTTTGTGCCACAATTAAGTTACGCTTAGTAAATCAATATTTGCACTTAGATATGGGCAGTACGGGTACTGGTGCATTTGTTTACAAGATTAAATCGGTAGATCAATTAGTAGTGTGTTCGATCCTCACTGAGGGCACCATACTTTTGCCACAACTAAGCCCCGCTTAGTAAATCAATATGGGTACAATTGCGACGGAGTAGCGCGTTCGAGACATGTACCACATCTCATCTACGCTTATACAACGCTTCATAACTGCTGTATGATTACACAGTTCTGTTTTTGTTCTTCAGATGCTATAGCACCAGCTTATGTTCTGATGAACTCTTGTTTTTATGAGTTGATTTAGCTTCTAGAAGCCATTTGCAATTGACGATCTGATAAATATTACGCATGCCTACAGTTTAGACATTTTTGAACAGTCTGGAAGTCACACGTATGAGAAACTAGATCTGATGGTGCTGTTTAGGAACATTGAGTTCTTAGGCTAATCCTTTGATTCTGTTGCACCTTGTGATGGTGCCACCAGTGAGGATCTAACTCACTACTCAGTCTTAATTGATCAAGCGAGAGAAGGCTGCTATGCACCACATTACATCGAATTGGCCAAATACAACACCTATGGGTCTAAAAGAATATATACAATCTTTCGTGAAACTACCACGAGTGCAGCCTATTGTATGTTCAATTTCTTTATCTCCCATGTTATAACTGATACATACAACGATGTATCTGAGGTATTTATTGTTTAATTCCACATTATGAAGTTTTATGATTGATTCAGGGATATCAAGTCTTACGGCCATATCACGTTGAAAAAACGGTTCCTGTACGATCACTGTAAGCTTTGAGGCGCGGGTGGTAAAATTGATAATGGTTTGGAATTGTTAATCGGAGAGCAAAGTTTCAATTCCTTTTCGGTTCGTTATATTCACTTACGAGTAAAGAAACCTTGGAAAATTTATTAAGTCACCTATCTTACTCCCATCTATGCTTAATTAATAAGACTTATATCACAAAACCATTATTATCACCTCAAAAAGCGTTCTTACGTTCTAAAAATGTTTTCTGGCTGAGATGTGATATAAGGCCTAAAGTATAGTACTCACAATGAGGATCGAACTCACTATCAAATCAGAAATACGTGCCATCAATTCCAGACAATAGATTTTTTTAAATATAGAATTGATATTGTTTAGGTCTCATTACTACATGCTATAGAGGAAAGGATTTATTTATGCTTTGGATATAACAAACGATAACGACACTAAACTACAAATAAATATTTGAATATATATGCTGCGATGGGTAAAATGTCGTTATTTTATATTCTTTATTTTGCGCATGCGCGATGTTTGTTTTTGATTTTGTCGATTGCACCGTATAGTAGGGTCAGTTGGGCACCATCTGTGAGAAAAAGAGTACCATGAAGCAATTCATTTCGCTAGAAATTTGGAATCGGCATGCTGTACATCTTGGCATTCGTACCAAAAGCTCCAATACGACCATCTAAGATTGCTTGGGTATCCATCTGAGAGACAGTAAAGAGGATATGGAAACAGCTGGATGATAAATCATGGTGTTTGAAGTGATCACTAGTGATGACAACGTTATGCCTCCATTCATCTTCCCACAGGGCCTCAGACTCAACCCCAAGGCCTACATAAAGCTCCTTGACGAGGTAGTGCTACCCGGGGTCAAGGGGCAGGTTGCTGGAAGACCCTATGTCTGGCAACAGGACTCTGCACCATGTCATACAATCAAGGGAACCCAGTCATAGAAGTCAGATAATTTTTTTCGAGCACACCGTCCCCTATATATGACCAGCTAAGTCCCTGGACTACAACGACCTTATTTATTGAGGTGTAGGGCGTAGTTGAGCGAGAGACCAACGAAACTCCTTGTAACACAAAAGATAAACTGAAGGTAATGATTATGGCAGCATTCACCAATTTAAAGAAAAAGACCGTCAAGAAGAGTTTCAAGTGATTCTGTTGTCGCTGCTGAAGCCAATCGTGAATATATTGAGGAAATTTACACTTTAGAATTTGAAGATATTTTTTGTGTAATTTTGCTAGATATATCTTTGAAAAAGAGATTTCAGTGTTATTTTCATTTTCGCATAATTTCGACGTCAATTTATCCACGGCACCCGTATATCCTCAACACTTTGTCTTTTGATCTCTCTCTTATGTTTCGACGTCAATTTATCCGTCGCAGCCTGTATATACTTTGTCATTTGGTCACTCTTGTCATGTGTCAAATGTGCATCATAATTTGCTTTTTTAATCGTTTTGTAACGTTGTAAATATAAAACTGACACTACACATTCTGTTAGCGATATTGTTCTCAATAAAACCTTTGAATGGACGACCCGGTACCTCAGAGGCAATCTGCTACTTATCAGAAGACGCAATAATATACCCTTTGTGGCTATAAACTAATTAATGCATAAGAGAACACGACTTTCCCCACTGACTAGTTTTCATACATTAGAAATAAATCTAAGTTCTATTCCATAAATAGCTTTCGACAAAGAATTTGAAATCTTATCGTCTGTATTTTTGGGATAAGGAGTTATTAATATTTCTGTTTGTATTTTTGGGATAAGGAGTTATCATTATTTCTGTCTGTATTCTTGGTATGAGCAGTTATCATTATTTCTGTCTATAATTTTGGGATAAGGAGTTATCATTATTTACATTACTTACACATTAATAGTTGTTTCTATCAAAAAAGTTTCGGTCAGTGTATTTCCTGACTTCATCAAGTGCTTAAATATTTCAGGGAATTTCGAATTGAATCCTTTATTTAATTTACGTTACATAAATGATACTGAGATGCATAAATGATGGAAAGATTTCGATAGATAGACAGTCGGTGGAAAGGCTTCGATAGATAGACAGTCAGCGGAGAGACTTCGATAGATAGAGAGCCAGCGGCAAGATTTCGATAGATAGACAGTCAGCGGAAAGACTTCGATAGATAGACAGCCAGCGGAAACTCTTCGATAGATAGACAGCCAGCGGCACAATTTCGATAGATACAGAGCCAGCGGCAAGATCTCGACAGAGAAAGAGAGCCAGTAGAAAGATTTCGATAGATAGACAGCCAGCGGAAAGACTTCGATAGATAGACAGCCAGCGGCAAGATTTCGACAGAGAGAGAGAGCCAGCAGAAAGATTTCGATAGATAGACAGCCAGCAGAAAGACTTCGATAGATAGACAGTCAGCGGAAAGACTTCGATAGATAGACAGCCAGCGGCAAGATTTCGACAGAGAGAGAGAGCCAGCAGAAAGATTTCGATAGATAGACAGCCAGCGGAAAGACTTCGATAGATAGACAGCCAGCAGCAAGATTTCGACAGAGAGAGAGAGCCAGCAGAAAGATTTCGATAGATAGACAAACCAGCGGAAAGACTTCGATAGATAGACAGTCAGCGGAAAGTCTTCGATAGATAGACAGCAAGCGGCAAGATTTCGGCAGAGAGAGAGAGCCAGCAGAAAGATTTCGATAGATAGACAGCCAGCGGAAAGGCTTCGATAGATAGACAGCCAGCGAAAAGACTTCGATAGATAGACAGCCAGAAGAAAGCCTTCGATAGATAGACATTCAGCGGAAAGACTTCTGTAGATAGACAGCCAGCGGAAAGACTTCGATAGATAAACAGCCAGCAAAAAGCCTTTCATAGATAGACAGTCAGCGGAAAGGCTTCGATAGATAGACAGCCAGCGGAAAGACTTCGATAGATAGACAGTCAGCGGAAAGACTTCGATAGATAGACAGCCAGCGGCAAGATTTCGACAGATAGAGAGCCAGCAGAAAAATTTCGATAGATAGACAGCCAGTGGAAAGACTTCGATAGATAGACAGCCAGCGGCAAGATTTCGATAGATAGACAGTCAGCGGAAAGACTTCGATAGATAGACAGCCAACGGAAAGATTTCGATAGATAGACAGCCAGCGGAAAGATTTCGGCAGGGAGAGAGCCAGCAGAAAGATTTCAATAGATAGACAGCCAGCGGAAAGGCTTCGATAGATAGACAGCCAGCGGCAAGATTTCGATAGATAGACAGCCAGCGGAAAAGATTCGATAGATAGACAGCCAGCAGAAAGATTTCGATACATAGACAGCCAACGGAAAGACTTCGATAGATAGACAGTCAGCGGAAAGGCTTCGATAGATAGACAGCCAGCGGAAAGACTTCAATATATGGACAGCCAGCGACAAGGCTTCCATAGATAGACAGCCAGCGGAAAAACTTCGATAGATAGACAATCA